TCCCCAGTCCAAACGAAAAAAAAATTATTTCCCACTTAAAAAAAAAAAAAAAAAAATTCAATTCGATACGATTTATAATATGTATTATTGTTATTATATTATGTATGCGTATTATGATATGCGTATATCGGTTATGATAAATAATTCATATTATCGCGCGGTGACGCACCGCCGGCGTATAATAAAATCATTAAACCGCACGACGACGTAAATTTCAATGTGTTGACGAATAAATTCATGAGCAATTTAGCTCATGAATTAATCGAGCGCGTTTCGAACGATTTACCGCGTACATGATAATAATAATAATATTCTAAGACGATTTGTATGATTGAATATACATTTTTCTGTTATGTACCTATGCGTGTTTAAACCGAGGCGAGATTTAGGGTTGTGGGGTCCCCGGGGCCCATCATGTCAAACAGAGGTACCCCGGTAAATGGAGATAAATTTACATTCGAATTTGTAGGCTTATCCGGTATTTCCGGAGAATCTCGTTACTAAATGATATAGGGAAAGCGTATTTATTTCACGTGGGATGTGTTTGTGGTAATAAACTATTTAGACGGATGTATCTCGGACGATTTTCGGGGTTGACAAAATCGTATTGGTCGATATGTTGCTTGACAAATATATCTAGGCTTCAGAATGCTCGAATAGCGATGTAGTACAATAATACCATTATGCATTAGGCGTTTTTGTGTAAGAAATTTTGAATTTAATTGCGCCGCAAAGGTTATCGTTTTGAAAATAGGCCGATAACGTGTATTTTGCTTCCTTAAAAATAAACAGCGCGAATAAACTAGTGTTTATAGTTTTGAATAGAGCGTATAGATTCAGACCGCGTCGAACCGTATAAAAAAAACGACGCGTAAACCAAAACACTTACCGTGTTACAACGACGACGGTTTTATCGTAATTTCGTGAGATTTACGGTTATTTCATTGAGCGCACTCGTTTCTCGTCGCGAAATCCACCCCGTAAGCAGGGAGTCTGTCGGCCCTTCCGTTAATTAGGGGACGCAGCGCGAGTGAACTGTTATACGCGTTATATTATACGCGCGATTTGCATATTGCGTTTAATAGCCCGACCAAGTCCTTTCCTTCTCCCCCCCCCCTCAAAACGCGATACGAGTTATTAACGTATGGATATTTAAATATTTGGACCCCCGTGATGCATGGTAAGTCAACGCGTTGTACGCGACAATAATTGAAATGGAAATCCGCGAAGACCCGTCGACGATGATTCCGCCGGATCCCGAAGCGGACGGCCGATACATACAGGGGCACGACGGGTCCAATTATCGTTAATATTATCATTCGTATAATCCGCGTGCGTATTTTGTAATTATCGTCGATAACATTGATTTCGGGAACGAGGGTCATTCCGGCGTGCCGGGGCACACCCTCTCGGCGACGTGTTGAGTCCGGTATTAAGGGTATATAAACGCTTCAACGACTCTATGTTAGTACGTGCGCTATAGTCACCGGTCAGTAAAGTACACGGATATTATACTGGCTGACCAGCGCCCAGCATTGTCCTTGCTAATTTGTTATTCTTTTTACCTTTATTTCCGTTTTGCCTTGTCCTCCGTATCAGTGTATTGAACTAAAAAAAAAAAAAAACGTCCTAGGATAACGGGGACGGGTGCAGCCACTGTTATAGGTAGTTTGAGTAATTGAATGTGTACCGGTAAGCAACGATACACCATTACTAACGAGAAAACCATTCCGAGCGGAGTACAATTGATAGTGATGCTTTGTCCACAATACATTTTACGTCATATTATGGTAAAATAATTAAGTACGCACTATGTATTTTCTTTAATAATATTTGTTTAATATTGATCCGATTTTCCCGATTTTCCAATGTTATTTCCCGGTTTTTCACATTAACTGGGAAAACTATTGGGAAAATCAAAATATTGTCTGGCTACGTCTCCGGGTTTTCATATTAGTAGCGAGTATATACGATCGCAACACTCCGCATAGACATAGGTAATATTTTGTGGCGTGTTTCGCTTTTTCTTTTTTTTTGCCGTCCTCTTCAGAACATCGGTCAAATTTTTGATCCTACACCTACATCGTTTTTCAACATTATTTTATTATTATTTTATTCGGTATTATTTTTATTAACGAAAATTGAAAGAATTTCTCGCCCCGAAATCGACCACAAATGCTTCTATAAACTAGTTTAGCCTGTCGTTAAATACGCCACTGGCAATATTGCTGTTCTACAAACGTGTTTTAACTCCGTGTTCAATTGACTATTATTGTTACCTACTGCGGTAGATGCAATGTCATACACGAACGTCGCGAACGTCCCTATTAACAATTAGAAATATACGTATTGTAGTTTTTTTTTCGTTCGAATTGATTTTATTAAAAAAAAAAAAGAAGTACGAACGTGACATAGGTATGTAATATTATGGTCACGTCACGGATGTACTGGGCGGACGAACAGAGCATTTACCTACATATTATAGACCTTAACGTGCACTATAATAATATAATATAATAATGTGTGCGATTCAAGGCCATTTTTAGACGGTCCTTGAGCGTCGATTTTTGCGAATTCTTCTCGTTTAACACACGTTATTAGGTACCTATATTGTAAACACACACACACACACACACACACACACGCACCAAAAACAAAATGCGCGCATTACCGCGGGCGATTATAACAGTATAATAATTATTATATTGTGATGTGCATTAAAGTGTTCGGTCTTGATGGCGGGAAATTTTGCATTAGTGCATTTTTATATTTGACGACGTGCGAGGTTTTCCTGCACGGAAGTTTTCGGAAGTCGACAGCGATAATGATATTCATTTTTATCGGTCGATGTGGTAAACAAAATAAATATTAAATAAATAATAAACAGATTAATTGACGGGTTTTGCGGATCGTCACTTATAGAAAAATCAGTCCAGTGGCGTGGTAAAGCAGGATTTTTTGAGATTGCTTCATGACTAAAATAGGTGGGTGGGTGTTTCACTGGTCCAAATAATATGTTGATTAAGAAACTAGTTCAGAAATCAGAGATGCCCTTAGTTTTGTCTGTTATATTATAAATATACGATTAATGATAGTTCAAATTATGTTATATCAATATAGTTAAATAAGGTTTTTGCTGTAAAAAAATTATTTATAGGACATATAAAAATCTATATTTTAGGTGAATGGGTGGGTTCTAATTTTTTTTATTTTGTCTCAATTATAAAAAAATGTTCAGCACGCCACTGAACACCACGTTCCGATCGTTGGGCCGCTAATCAGTAGTAAAAGTGTATTAATATTGCCGTATTCGCTAATGTCGGTGCCGGAACATTCGAGTTGGCCATTACGTGTAACGCGTTTTTTGGGGTATCGAAAATATAATCGGGTCGCGATAAATGTGGGAACGACAAAAATTATAAATAACGTGCAGAATATTTGGTCACATGTTTGATTTTTTTTTTTTTTTTAATGGTAAAATCGATTTCACCACGGAATACATACTTATTTTTGAACGTTAATCGAAAAGATTTTTCCCCAAGTGGGGCACTAAGTGCTGGAGATTATGATTAACAACGTATACGTTAAATTTGTGTTATTGATAATAATTTTAATTGTTAATGATTATATTTTATTTAAACGCAATAATGTTATTGTATACACATTACGTATTAAGAACAATGTCTTAAAATCCCATTCATTTAGTTTAATATTACATTATCAAGATTGTCCGACAGTTTTTTTTTTTTTTTTCATATAAAAATGTAAATATTAAACGTCGTTATCAATATCAATATATTAAACGATGTTATACATTTGATTTCTAAATATTATAGATAAGAAGTAATCAGAAAACCAATTATATTATTGATTGCCTAATAATCGAGATAATTTGTAATGATTTATAGCGTCTGTTTTTTTAATAATTTCTAATAATAATAATAAATTCTAAACGGGATGAGATTGAAATAATAAAAGTATTATTATTATTGATTGTTTCGGAAACAAGCCTTATTAAGATCGAATACTGATAATATATTATTTATTTTGAGATTAACGTTATTATACACCATTCAGTAAGACTTTAATAAATTATGAATGATATCGGTGTAAGTACTACTGTAACGCTAAGAAGAAAATTAGAATAAATATCTAAAAAAATTGTTTTTAATGTAATTAATTAGAATGTTAACGCCAATTATTATTTTAAAAACGTTTTAGACAGACATACAGGTAATAATATAATAACATTAGAAGTTATCGATGGGATTCTATTTTTCTAATGTTCTTTTATCTGTAAATTGGTTACTTACTTTTTTTTTTTTTTTACATTTGTTTTTTAGAACAAAAGTACTGTTAAATTAGTGATTTTTTTTTTTAATTAAAACATATACTTTTAGGTATTTCTGTATAATATAAGTAAAATTAAAATTATTTTTTTATTCCGTTATTTAAATTGATCCATCCGTTTTCGGACCGATTATATAACATATTATAATAAGATAAAGAGAGAGAAGAAAATTTAGTCGATCATGAATTAAAAACAATATTATGGTACACAACGAATTTATAATAACATTGTAATGGTTAATTGTGCAGTTATCCATCACATTATAATCAGTTTTACATTTGAATTCGTTAAAGATAACTGTTTAAAGTGGGTCGGAATCACTTGATACAGTTAAAACTATTTGATATTATTAAATATTACTCCTGTTGTT